GGCAGCTGACCCCGGTCACGCTGACCTAGCGGCGTACGGCCTGGCGAAACTAAACGACCGCTGATTCGGCGCTGTGAATAACATATATAACAATCTTTAAAAGTTAATGAACAAATATGAAAATTAGTAGTAGTAGTATAAGGTTTTACGGCGCTCGCAACTGCTAAGGTCATATGAGCGCGCGAAACACAAGTTGTTCGCCTCTGCGAAAGTTCACTTCACGGCTGGTAACTAATTTACTTTAAAATGCTAAAAAGTTAAAATATTCAAATTCGGTGTAAATACATTTGTGATCTAAAACAACTTTTAAGTAACAATAAAAATTTTAAATAATATCAGATTCACTTTACAACTCGCCATAAAGGCCAATGGCCTTTATAAAATTTAAAATTCTGCTGGGAACAACGACGGAGAAAATATCCTGCAATTTCTTGCATTTATAATATTTCCTTCGGATCTCTCCAAAGTCTAGACATTCTGTTAAAATGTGTCTAATGGTAAAATCTGTGTCGACACAGAACGGCTTCTCCTCTCCCTGTAGTAGGTATTTGTGGGTCAGGGCCGTGTGTCCGATGCGCAATCGAGTAAAAATGACTTCGTCTCTTCTGGAGAGATCCGAAGGATTTCGCTGTTCTAGTCTGGGTTTAATTTCATATAATTTATTATTTTTCTGGTTTTCCCAGTGGCTCTCCCACAGACTGGAGGTGTACTTTTTGACTTTATTTCTAAAGTCAGTCTGTGGGAGAGTGTTTGTCGTTGATCCCAGCAGAAGGGATGAAGCTTTCTTCGCCAGGTCGTCTACCTGCTCGTTTCCTCGGATGCCCACATGGCTGGGGATCCATGCGAACATGATGTTTTTTCCTGTTTCGGATAGTGTATGGATTTTCTGTTGTAGCCTAACTATTTTTGGGTGTAAGAAATTAACGTTTAATTAGGTTTGCTAATTTAGAAAAATACGCAAATTCGGTACCCTCCTAAACTGAGAATATACGCTCTTGGGACGGTGGGAGGTACTAGCACTGCTGAAAATGTACGCGCTTGGGGCTGGAAGGGTTAAAACGTAGGTGGTGTGCGTCTGGCGAGCATCATTTTCAACCTTCTCTATCCCAAAGCCGAGTCAATAATTTGACAAAACACTTACACATACACGGCAGTCATCTTTTGTCTGTGACAGAAGCTGTCGACCTACTTATCAGCTGCGCGCAGTTTCCGGCGACCCTGGCTTGTTTCAGCAGAGACGCTACGCCCACATTCTTGTCGTTCGCATTTGCCGGTGTCGTACCTTGAGTTAACCCCTACCATGAGATTACCCCCGTTTTCTTTAACACTAGTAAACATGAATTGTCTGCCATTTTTTAAAAAATTAACAATATCAAATAAATTCAAAATTAACAGAAAGAGACGTAAAACTGACCCTAACCTTGCCTAATTTAGTCTTATACGAGTAGAAGGATGAGATTTTATTTATGATTGGCCCAACCACCACCATCCCCCCCCCAAAAAAAGTGGACACAACTCTAGATATTCTAGTCAATATTAGGCCTACTCATTTATTTCTTGTTGTTTCAATGAAACATTAAAGTTAATTAAAAATCGTTAGCATTCAATCATAGTCATGGTCACTCTGTGTGCGTCTGTGCGTCTGTGTGAGTGAGTTAAATGTTTACAGTTACAGGCAAAAATTCCTACAACGAAATTACAAGATAATTGACTTTTGAGGATTAGTGTGTCAGACATGAACAAAAAAACCCAATAAATACCCCATAAGACAGAAAACCAAAGAGTGAAGGAATGTCTTAAGTTGGCCTGAAAAGAGGAGCCCTGGAGGAAACCACTGCACTATAGTGAGTACATGTTGGTCCTAAAATTACCTGAAACAGTGAGATCCGAAATACTGAGGACCTCATCACTTTCCTCTGTTTCTTTCTCCTCCTCATCCGTAGAAAAGTCTTCCTCCGTGAGGCTGGCTTCCATCCTCTGGACTATGGCTGATTTTTCTTCTCTCTTAAGCTGGTGACGAAAGGCGGAGTTTCTGCAGGGCTATCAAAGCCTCCAGCACCTGGACCTGCAAACGAACCAACACATTAGTCAGCATTCATTGCCTTTTTATAGAAAAACAGGGTGACTGTCAAATCCACTTCTCATTTTTCCAGGGGCCCATCCCTTTTTCAGGGGCACAAACACACACACACACACATATATATATATATATATATATATTGTACTGTCTAGTCCATTTATAAGTCTTTGTTATTACAGGAACTTGGATATATAACAGTGATAATCCAAATTCCTGTTTTTTTCCCTCTTTTAATGTAAGTAATATGAGCCCGGCTATAACACACAGGATTCAATTTGCACAGACTCAAATATAACAGTGATCTTGCTTTTGATCGGTCAAATTATTAGAATTTGTCTCAACCAAGCCTGTTTGTATGATCGCTTGCCTAAACACAATCTTTCAAACATATCCCCCCCCCCCCCCCCCCCCACCATAGTGTTGGGGTCACTGAACGATTCCGTCTCAGTGTCAGCAAAACAGCCCACTGGAAAAGGATCTGCGATAATCGAATATACAATAATATAGTAAGCTGAAGGAGCAATGGTACTGGTAGTTTCCCTTGATAACGGTTATAACAGGACTCGTTTATACCAGAAAAACTGCCCGTCCCGTCTGAGCTGTTATGTTATTTAGTATCCAAGTTTGACTGTATACAGTAGTCTCTGCCTAAGATTATATTTGTTTCAGTAAAGTTTTACGGCGCTCGCAACTGTATAAGGTCATGTGAGTGCCAAGGGGTGGATCTCAACAGAGAAGTTCTTACAGGGAATCAGGTTTACTCTGCTCACCTCTCTACCCTCAGCTGCACAAAGTCTACTTCGACTATCAAGGCACCCAGGAAATAGCAGTTCACAAGAGAGAGACAAACATACAAAAGAAGTTGAGGAAAAATGATGATAGTAATAATGAGGAAAGAAAAAGTAGCAAGCAGTTCCCCCTACGCTGTTCCGACACAGTATAAGCATGACATTGATAAATCAGCCCATTTCCAATTCTACTGTGCATGTATGTATTCCCCCTTTGGGGATGAGGGGATGACCTAAGACAATTACTCTAGGGGGGAGGGGGGGGGGGGGGTCTAGATCATAATTTACGGAACAAAAAAACCTGGGCTGGCGGAGCTGATCAACAAAGAGTGAAAAGTTTTTTGTTTTTTTTTTGTTTTTTTATTTTTTAGTAAGAGTTTTACTGCACTCGCAACTGCAAAAGGCTCTGGCCACACTGCAAGCAGAGCGGGCACAGCAGAGCGGGCACAGCAGAGCGGGCATAGCAGAGCGGAGCTGTTGAGGCGTTAACTTTCGGTGGCCACACTGCAAGCAGAGCGGAGCGGGCGGTGCAATGCAACGTCATGTGGCATTATCTTTTCATATCAGTTTCAGTTGCCCATGGATAGGAAATGACTGGCATTATTTGTCCTGGTCGATGAGGAGACAACAGAAAAAAAGCAAGAAAGAAATGGGGGCACTCGATCATCAGACTGCAAATTCTTCCACTGTCATCTGAATAAAAAGAGGGTACAGTGAAAGAAGGATCAGAATAATACGAGGGAGAGGCATCTAATTTCTTTTCAAAATTTCTTATTAATTTTCTCTCATGCTTTGTCCTGTTGTGGTGAATAGGAAATAGGAACAAAATAATAATAATAGAATCATCTACGTGTTTAAAATTAAATCAACAATAATATCTTGGTTTTGCAATATACAGAAAGTTTTAAACACGGAAATTAATACACGTACACACGCATACCCACACACACAAATATATACACTCATACACACATATAACGTAATATGTTATACACAACAAACAACCTGTGTCTGTGGTTCGGTAGGCACTTTGCTGTCTCATGTAGAAGAATCGTGTTCGATTCCAGAGTAAGCAAGACTTTTTATCAAGTATTTCGGGGGGGTTTTTTGCTTCAACGTTGTATCACTCCCAGCCAGTGACTTGTTTGTTAACTGAACTGGTTTAGGTAGGGTCTAGAGATTCTGGTAGAGATTCTATCTGGATCTAGATTCGGATCTACTGTTGAATAGTGTCGAGTTAGAAGTTCTGCTGTGACTTGTTTGTTGACTGAACTGGAGATTCTAAATTTCTAGACTAGGGTCTTTTATTTGAGTAGATCATTTTTCTATTCTGGATTTCTAGTTCCACAACAAGTGAACAGAAATGGCACAACTTAACAGGAAAAACCAGCAGAAGCAATACACAGCCAATAATGTACCCCTTCCATCAAAATTAAACGTAACAGATGGCATAAACCTAGCACAAGGGTAGAAAAAGTTTAAGAGAAACTTCGAAAATTATGCGATCGCCATCGGCTTAAACTTAAACAAGGAAGAAGATTTCCAATGTGCAGTTTTTTTTTGCGACGATTGGAGAAGATGCTGTAGACATTTTCGAAGGTTTCCACTTCGAGGACGA